CATGCTGGCTGCTGCCCCTCCCCAGGAGCAGAAACAGATGCTGGGTAAGTGAAACTCCAGTTCTTACAGATTACATTTTACTTGGGAAATCCCCTCAGGTTTCAAAGATGACTTTTTAATTGAAATTCAGCTGTCTGAACTTTTTTTTTTTTTAATTTTCCCCTCTCAGGAGAACGTTTGTTCCCTCTCATTCAAGCTATGCACCCCAGCCTTGCGGGGAAGATCACAGGAATGCTGCTAGAGATTGACAACTCGGAGCTGCTGCACATGCTAGAGTCTCCAGAGTCCCTCCGGTCAAAGGTAAACTGGTCTGTTCCTTTAGAGGGACTGGATTGTGTCAGGGTTTGGTCAAGAGAGCAGGTCTCACTGGGTAACTTGTCTCCCTGAGGTGGAGGAGGCCGTTGCAGTGTTGCAGGCTCACCAAGCCAAGAAAGAAGCTGCCCAGAAGGTGGGCGTGGTTGCTGCTACCTCTTAAACCCAGGAAGACTGGTGAGTGTCTCGGCCCTTAGCTTCAGTTAAAAGCTCCCAGAATCAGCAAAGGTAGGATGGTTGTTAGTGAAGGCAGCCAGCCTTGAAGGTCTGTGCAGGTCTGGGTGCAGCACTTGACTGATTTTAGTCCACTCTTTAAAAAACAAAACAAACGCACCAATCCTAATGGAGTTTTCTCCAACAGACTCCTTGTTGTAGAAGCTTTAGCAACATTCTTCAGAAATCTCACTTCAATGAAGCGTCAGAAAAATGTTGTGTAAGGCCCTGAAGTGTTCCTCGCAGCTGACATGTCAAGGCAGGAATAATGTACTGAGAGGAGTCTTGTGAAACTGCGAATCTGGGAAATAAAATGGGGGACACACACAAGATGTTCTAGTGACTTTGAGGCTAAATAGGCTGTTAATGCCCATCCCTGATCCTGCTCACCTGCCTACAGTGTATAGTAAAGTGCTGCTGTCAGGAATGTAATTTTGGTGCATAGGTCTGTCCAAGCAAATGCTGCCTCCTGTATTTGGAGCTGGCTCTTGTTTAACTTCTGAATAAGGTTTTTGGTTCTTGGAATGTCACTTCTTGCTTTTGTTGATCCATTTTTCTGTGGGTTGTCTGGAATTCCCATCTTCAGTACTTTTGTGAAGATGTTGTGGTCAGATGTCACAACTCAAAACAGTGAAGCATGATGAAGAGGTTCTTCTGTTGTCATCCATGTATTTCTCAGTGGCTCCAGTCACTGGCTTCTCTGCTAAAGAGTTTGAGTTTCTTGTCAGATGATCAGAAATGGGTATTATCCACAGCTGTTAACAACTTCTCTGTACCTTGCAAATTATATTGGAGTCCCTACGGTTTGTAATGCCGGGAAGCTCACTAGCCCGGAGCGAGGAGTGCTGTGTGTAGGTAACTCATCTTCCTCTCCTCTTCTAGGATGCAAAGAAGCCAAATAGCCCCTTCACGGACATCAGCTCAAGATGTTTGAAGATTCTTCACTGTCCTGCAGATCTCAACGCCATGCATCATATCACATAGTTATATCGCATTTTGTAAATTAATCTTTAAGATCTTATTTAAAAAGCCAACTCTGAAGCTCTAGATTTCCAAAACCCAAACTGGGCTTGCAAGCTTTTCCTTTGTGGTCAGTACAGAGCTACTACCCTTTGTGTCTTCTGCGCAGGACATTGAGGATTTTAGGTTGAAAGTATTTTGTGGTTTTGGTTTTAACTGAACAATCCAGTTTGGAAAGTCTGGAAAGCATTTATCAATAAAGGAATAAAAACTTTCACTGTTTGTCATTTTTTCCCTCTAGATTTGATAAGTGTGATGTGGCTTAGTGAAACTAATCTGGCAGGCAGTTGTCATATGACCGATCCATTAAAATTGTGATTTAATTGAGTTATTCTGCTTGTTAACTCTGGACAAGTGCTGTTTTGAAGCGGCTGTGTTAAAATTATGCCACAGGCTGATCACGTTGGGTTTGGTTAGTGTCAGAATGGGAGATGACTGTAAGTGGGGATCTAATGGAAGGGTTTGGGAGACATTTTTCAAGAGAAGTGTTGAGGGGGTTTGGCTCCCTTGGCATCCTCTGCAGGAGAGCAGCTTTGCTGTTCTTTGCATGTATTGCATATATGGGTGGTGATCCCCTGGGGCAGGTTGCCCCGAGAAGCTGTGGCTGCCCCATCCCTGGAGGTGTTCAAGGCCAGGTTGGACGGGGCTTGGAGCAACCTGGGCTGGTGGGATGTGTCCCTGCCCAGGGCAGGGGGTGGAACGGGATGAGCTTTGAGGTCCCTTCTAACCCAAACCATTCTGCGATTTCTATGTTTTCAGCTGGATGTTTTCTTCAATGGTTCTGTCATTAGAGGACAACTGGTATTTTATACTCTAAAGAGAGGTGCGTGTAACGACTTGTAAACTATTTTGGGTGATCCTTTGGGATAACACTTTGTATCCAAGTAAGGCACGCAGTAATTCTGAAAGCAAGCAGTCGGCTTTGATGCTACAGCTCCTTCTGCGGCAGGAAGGTGGCGAGCTGAGACACCTTGTTTGCGCTGGAGGTAAACGAGTGTCCTTGTTTGAGTGATTCATTTCTTTCAGTGTGTTTTACTTTTTTTTTTTTTTTAATTTTACTTTTCAGTTAGGTCCCTTCTAATGCTTGGGAAAAGTGCATTTTTAGAAGACTTTCTAGTGTCTAAATTTATGAAAAGGCTGAACTTTATAGCCAGCTGTGGTGTGTGGGTTTCAAGGTCTCAGTATCTTCGAGCTCGCTGGGTGGAGGGATGAGGAAGAGCGAGACCTGGGAGCTCGACCCAAGCTGGCCAACAGGGTTAGTTCATACCACGAATGTCACAGTCAATACAAATTAGAAAGTTTGAGGAGTTTCCTCGTGTTCTATGATGGCTGTCATCCTGAGAAATTCTCACCCTGGTGCCGGAGCCCTGAGCCCTTCCCTTCCTCCCGAATCTGCAGCGCTCGCAGTGTCCCACAAGTGCTGTCCCCTGCTGGGAGCGCACAGCTTCCTCGGGAGAGAAGGGGCTGAGTATAACCCTTGCGTAGGCTGTATTGGTATCAGGATCAATGTTGGTTCTTTAGTGCTATTAATGTTGGGGTTTTTTTTGTCTGAGTCTATTAAGTCTGTTCGTATTTCAACCTTTGGGTTTCCTTGTTTTTTCCTGATTCCACTTCCCGCATGGGGAGGGGTCATCGGGTGATAGAATAATTGCTGAAATAACAATAAATTGTTGTGTTCTTCAAACTGTAACAACGCACCAACTCCGTGGTGGAACTGTGGCTCCGCTTGTGCTCGGCAAACCCGAGGAGCCGCTGGACGGTGGGTCCCAGGAAAGGGCTCCTGCGCTCCGGGGGTGTGAGTACCGCTTTGCCCCTTTTCCCTGGAAAACGAGCCCAAATCCCTCTTGGCCCAAAGCGGCGTCCTTTACCCTAATGTGCGCACGGAGCAGAGGGACAGATTTATAGCATTTCTGCGGGAACGGCTCCGCAAAGCCACACTCGAAATGCCAATATGGTTCAAAACACCTTTGTTTAATTATAATTAATGGTTAGTTCCCCTTATCTTAACGACTTCTACGGGTCAGTACAGCCTCTCGCTCTACAACCGCTTTCTTAACGCGACCGAAAGCAGCGCAAATCCGTAACTACGCCGGCGCCGTGTCCCC